CTTTCCCTGTTCTCTCGCCGGCAGTTGGGGCAGTCTCGCCACCGTCACCACCAGGTTCTCTCTCGTCGGCGGTTGGGTGCGGTAGTGGTGTCTCAAGAACCCACCACCACTGGATTTGAAAACCAGATCTGCCTTGGTCGGGACGTTTTGGTGGTGACTTGGTTTTTTTTTTTGGGGCTGTGGTTCGGTATGGGACGGTGGTGGTGTTGGGGGGTTTTTTGGTTGTAATGTGGTGCAGGCGGCGATTGTGTGGTGGTGGTCCTTTTTTGTTGTTGTTGGAGATCGTGTGGTGCAAGTGGCGGTTCTTGGTGGTTTGGTAGTGTTGTGCGGGTGGCAGTTGTTGGTGGTCGGCAGTGGTTGGTGCAGGCGGCGGTGTTTGCTGAGATCGTGTGGTGCAGGTGGCGGTTCTTGGTGGTTTGGTAGTGTTGTGCACGTGGGCAGTTGTTGGTGGTCGGCGGTAGTTGGTGAGGCGGCGGTGTTTGTGGCGGTGGTGGTTGCAGGGGTGTTTGCGGAGGCGGCGGTGTTGTGTTGGTGGTGGTCACAGATGATTTGTTGATTGTGACTATTAAATTGGGTGGTGTGTGACCAATAAAGAATGAATTGTGACCAATAAATACTTTGTGACCCACAAATTTATTAATTTGTAACCAATAAAAGTTATTTGTGACCTATAATTTGTTGTTTTGTGACTATAAAATAAGATGTGTGACTTAAAATTTTTATGATTTGTGACCGATGAAATAATTGTGACTTTTAAATTTTTAATTTATGACCGATGAATGAATTGTGACCTATCAAATTTTGGAATTGTGACCTTAAAATTTTTGAATTGTGACCAAATTGTATAGATCTGTGACCGTTATATATTTATTAATAAAACATATAATTAATTAAGTAATTCATAAATAAATTTAAATAAAAACCTGATTTTTGAAATTTAAAATATCTAACCTTAATTTTAAAATGTGTATAAGTAAAAGTAGGATTTATGTATTCTGCTTTGACACATGGATACAAATATGTTGACAAAGGTAGATTCATTATCATCAATCTAATTGCAAATAGTGAATGCCCTTACCATATCCAATATTGATTGAAAAATATAAAAATCAATATTATGCATATCTCAAAAGAAGAGAATACTATAACAAGCGAGTAGTCAACACAAGTCAACAAAGAAGGACTTCAAAGAGAGTGATTAGAGTGAAATGCAAGATCACGTGACTTGTCAATCTAGATCACTTGTGCTAGTAAATATTAACCATGGATAATTACTCTGTATAAGAAATTGTAAGGACTCATATATGGTTTTTGTAAAAAATTTAGTTTGAACTTCGAAAAGCGTAGAGGCATATAATAATCTCTTGATCTCGCTATTGTAATAATAGGAGTAATTAAAAAGAAAATGGACGATTTTTTTGTATACAGGGGGACCTAAATGATACAATTGAAAACCTAAGTACTCTATAAAGTAAAGGTGAAGGACCACGATTCTAATTTCCCCCAAAACTAACAAACTTTCCTTTATAGTTCGTAATCGTAGGTTCTGTCCTCAATTGTGTCGAAATGCCCATATTTTCAAGACCCATCGTCACTCGATCACGCATCAAAAACAGACTCCTCCTCTCCGCCTTTCTTTCCCTCACCCTCCTCTTCTACCTCAACAACCGCGGCCCCGCCCTTCCCACCACCACCTCCACCGCTGCCGTCACCACCTCCTCCGCCTCCAATTTCCCTCCTCCTCCTCCACTTTCCGTTCACCACCTTCTCTTCTCCATTGCCTCCTCCTCCTCCTCACTCCCCCGCCGAACTCCTTATATCCGCCTCTGGTACGATCCTATTTCTGCCCATAACAACACCTTCCTCTTCCTAGACAGACCCACTACTGAACCCACAAACCCTTCCTCAGTTCCCCCCGTCGTACTCTCCTCCAAGTCCTCCCCCAATCTCCCGTCCGGTTACCGGATTGCCCTCATCGTTAAAGATGCTGTTACCCTCGACATTCCAAATATTCACTGGTATGTTTTCGGGGACGATGATACTATATTTTTCACTGAGAATTTAGTAAGAATTTTGTCCAAGTACGATCACAATCGGTGGTACTATATTGGGTATGGTTCCGAGAGTTTCGAGCAGAATGATAAATTCTTCTTTGGTATGGCTTTTGGGGGCGGTGGGTTCGCAATTAGTGCCCCGCTGGCGAGGGTTTTGGCTCGGGTTCTCGACTCTTGTCTTGATAGGTACCCCCATTTGTATGGCAGTGACGCCCGGATTTTTGCTTGCTTGTCGGAGCTTGGGGTTGGGTTGACCCCTGAACCCGGGTTTCATCAGGTACATTTCGTGTATAATATTTTATTCCGAGAGAAGTATTTAATATGTAATTGGTTACTAACTTGAGTTCTAAAGTAATCACTTGATCATTTATTTATTTATTGTTATAAGAATTTGAGTTCCCACATAAGAAATGTGGTTTTAGTTGTGGTATTGGTTAATTAATAAATTTATTTGTTAGCAAAAGGCTGTCCTTTATTTTTCATAATAGTACTTTTCCAGGAACATGCCTAAATTAGATGACATTGAATCCATATGCAATACATTTATTGGTTATCTCGTAGCAATAGTTGGTGATAGGTGCAACAGATTATCTTTTGAGAACTTGGAATCACAGGCATAAATGCATATAAACCATTTGGGTAATATTTTCGTCTTCAATGCATGCAATTGTGTGACATATTATATTTTTATTTTCCGGACCTTGGAAATGTGGTTTTCATCTCAGTTGGAACCCTGATTTGTTTAAGGATTTTACTACTCTTTTCTTTCTATTGGTGTTTATCTTAAAATTAGTTTTTGATTAAAAAAGATGATTTTTTTATGGTTTTAATGTTAGATTTTTCAGCTTATTATACTTATCAAGTTTTTTGGTAGTGTGTTTACTCAATTGTCCTGTATTTTAAGGTTGATGTTCGGGGAAATCTGTTTGGATTTCTAGCAGCCCATCCATTATCACCTCTTCTGTCACTTCATCATATGGAAGCAGTAGAACCAATCTTTCCTGGTATGAGCAGGATTCAATCTTTGGAACACCTTTTCGAAGCCATTCAAGTTGATCCAGCTAAGGTTCTACAACAAACTGTTTGCTATGACCACACTAACTCATTAACCATTTCAATTGCATGGGGATATGCTGTTCAAGTATACGAGGGAAACAAACTTCTTCTAGATATCCTCTCACTGCAGAAAAGTTTTAGACCATGGAAGAGGGGCAAAAATGTGGATTCAAGCCGCTATATGTTCAACACGAGAGAATTCCATAGGGATCCTTGCAAAAGACCTGCTGTTTTCTTTATGGACGCTGTTGTTTCTGACACAAATCAGGTCTGGACCAGCTACACTAAGCGTGATGATGACAGTTGTGTTAGACTGAAAGCCACCGAAAAACTAAAAGTTATAAGAGTTTTATCACCAAAGCTAGATTTTGATATTGAGCAGGTTCCCCGTGTTCTTTTAATCTTGGTCATTTAATGAATATTAATCTTATTAGTGATAAAAGACATTTTGTTTTCTAATATCAGCTGAAGACACCCCGTCGTCATTGCTGTGATATTTCTCCATCTTTTAATGAAAAAATGGTGGTCCAAATTAGGCAATGTGGGATGGATGAACTGGTTACAATGCGGACATAGAAATTTATCCAGACCCAATTCTGAGGAGATAAAAGGTATTTCTCAGATATTCAGGGATTATGTGGTCTCTAGACTGGAATTTTATAATCTAAGCTCTAACATATTGGTGCATTCCATGCATGTATGTGTGTGCACCTGCATGCACACCTGTTTGCGCTGCAGGCAAGTGTGTTTGTCTTTGTGTATATATGTCCATGTGTTTGATTATTGATGCTTTGTGCAAACAATGTGTGACAAACCAAGTTTGTTTCTTCCACGTCCTTCAATCATTCTGCATGGGAGGGTGTTGTAGATTGAATTTAGTAAGAAATATTTACTTTTCCGTGGAACCCTTGTTTCTTTGATGGGGTTTTGAAGTGGGGAAAACTTCTTAAGCATTTTGTGGTAGAAAAATTCGAAGTAGAAGTGGTGGCTACAAAAATGAAGAGGGTTAATCTTGGATTGTATTGGAATAGGAGTGGGGAAAACTGCTCAAGCATTATGTGATAGAAAAATTAAAAGTAGAAGTGGTGACAACTAAGAAGAAGAGGGTTAATCTTGGATTGGTGTTGGAATATCTCCGAAGAATCTTATCTATGTGATATTGGAGATCTCAAAGAGATTGCCTTACGATTGTTGGTTTTGATTTGAGCTGTAAAAGAACGAGGTGCTCTTTGGTTTGGTTATGACTTCTTATGAAGTTTGTAACTTAAGAAGATATTTAGCTTGTTTGGCTAAGCTTAAAAGTTATGAGCACTTTAGTCAAACATGCTCATTGTATCCTCTTTAATGGTATGTGATTACAATAGACTGATGGGGGCCTTAAGAGTGTAGAAATTCAGCTTAATCCTTTTGAGTGATTAGGCTAATCCACATAATATTCTTAGATTTTCACATAATGTAATGAAGGAGAAGTTTCTGTCTTATTATGTGCTCGTATGTGTATCTCTTTGTGGATATGCATGAAGGAGTGTATGATTTAGACCTTGCAAGGAGGAACATCTTTAGATTCGACTTGAAAAATATTTCAAATTACTCTTAATAGATTAATTTGAAAGAAGAAAATTCTTGATGAGATTCTTGGATTGTAAGATCAAGCCTTCATCAAATAGTAAATCAAGCTACTATTTTCCATTTTGTCTTAATAGGACTTTAAAGTATAATAAAATGCTTTATAGTCTTGACTTTGAAAAATGAATACTAGGACGTGGATGTGGAGAATTTTATATGAACTCTCTTTTCATTGTTGCAGAACACTTGCACCAAGAAAATAACAACATTGTAACAATGATGTGATACATATGGCCTAGTGGGTGGTATAGCTAAGGTACATCAAACGACATTGCTGACAAAGGGATCTATGATTATCGCAGTTGTGGTTTTTGAGATCTGGTTGGGAATATATGCAACTGACATTGTTGGTTCTGTAATTGTTTTGAATGGATGTGATCGAGATCCGGGACAACTCTAGTAACTGATGGCATATTGACAATAATAAAAAATTAAACACACACAGAGCATTGAACATGGCCCTGGAGTAGGGCTGTCCGTGGGTCGGTTCGGTTCGGTTCTGAAGATACCCGAACCGACCCAAAACTTTCGGGTATTTAATAAATAGACCCGTCAGGTCCAAATATAATTATGGAACCGTTCAGGTTCGGTTCCGTTCGTTTGGTTCGGTTCCATGCCATAATTAAATTTTTTAACATTTACAGCAACACTAAATAAATACAACTAATAACATTTCATTTGTAACTTTTATAAATTAACGTAGCCCAATTCAAAAACATATAAATAACTAGCTATCCAATAAAATTAATTCAATACATACAAATACCAAAAAGTAGATGTTAATATTAAAATATCGGTGATCCATATCAAAAACTGCAAATAAATCCCAAACTCCACTGTTTCTTGTCTTTGAAATGGGCTTTAAAATGATTTGGGTATTGGATTTCAAAATTAAATTTATGAAATGATCTGATTTATTTAATTAATTTACTAATTTGTTTAGAAAAAATAATTTAATTTAATTAATTCAATATAAAAAATAAAAAAATTATTTAGTTTCGGTTCTTGTTCGGTTCTTCGGTTCTTGGTCTAGACCCGAGACCCGACCCAAACCCATCGGTTCTCGATTCGGGTACCCGTTCGGGTATTTAATTTATGAAGAACAGCTCGGTTCGGTTCGGTTCGATTCGGGTTCGGTTCGGTCCGGTTCGGTTCGGGACTTTTGGACACCCCTACCCTGGAGTAAGCTATTGATATAAAATGAGGCAAGAATTACCCTTTTCGGTGGACATTACCCTTGTTGGATACTGAGGTATAAAGATACGTCTGAAATAACACGTGTCATGATAATGGATATGGACATATGGTTAAAATCTTATTAATGATGGTTCTGGAGTAATCTTTTGGTATAGAAGAGACAGATTACCTATTTTCATACACAGTGCCTTGTTGGGTACTAAGGCTCTAAAACTAATTACGTACGTCATTCACAATGGTTATGGAGGAATGGTTGATTTTTTATTGACAATGGTGCTGGAGTAAGCTTCTGATACAAAAGATGCACGAATTGCTGTTCCTAGTGCACACTGCCTTTTGGATCCTAAGATATAAAGATACCTCTAAACTCATTTACAATGCTTATGAAGGTATGGCTAAATTCTCACTTCGAATCAGTCTTCCTTCATCTCCTTCCTTTCTAATACTCCATAGCTAAACATTTAAGTTGTTTTAGCATTGCTAATTATCTTTCACCATTACTTTGTGATGCGGCTAATTTACTGATTTGGTTGTGGAACGAAACATTTTTGCTA